ACCGGTAGTTTTAGAATTGTTAAGATTGTTACCGCTAATGTTGAAGTGTTAAGATTGTTACCGCTAATTTTGAATTGTGAAGATTGTTACCGCCAGTTTTAGAATTGTTAAGATTGTTACCGCTAATTTTAAATTGTTACGATTGTTACCGATAATTTTGAATTGTTAGGATTGTTACCGGCAGTTTTAGAATTGTTAAGATTGTTACAGCTAATTTTGAATTGTTAAGATTGTTACCAGCAGTTTTAGAATTGTTAAGATTGTTACCGCTAATTTTGAATTGTTAAGATTGTTACCGGCAGTTTTTAATGGTTAAGATTGTTACCGGTAATTTTGAATTGTTAAGAATGTCACCGCTAATTTTGAATTGTTAAGATTGTTATCGCTAATTTTGAATTAAGATTTTTACCGACAGTTTTGTAATTGTTAAGACTGTTATCGCTAATTTTGAATTGTTAAGATTGTTACCGGTAATTTTGAATTGTTAAGAATGTCACCGCTAATTTTGAATTGTTAAGATTGTTATCGCTAATTTTGAATTAAGATTTTTACCGACAGTTTTGTAATTGTTAAGACTGTTATCGCTAATTTTGAATTGTTAAGATTGTTACCGCTAATTTTGAATTGTTAAGATTGTTACCGCTAATTTTGAATTGTTAAGATTGTTACCGCCAGGTTTGAATCCTGGTAGAACTTCTAATTCTTTCAAAATCACCTCACTGGGATTACCGAATTCAAGTTTGGACTTTGCGGAACTGATTGTACCATGTGTCAGACAAATATGTTCCTTGTTATAACACAGGTATGATTCGGGAATAACATCGATTTGGTTTTCTCGAGATTTAAATTAGACGAGGAAAACGAGATTTTGTTCGTGATCGGATAAAAACGTACGATTTAAATAAATGAAGGGAGCCGGTCTAGATATCGTCCGAATATTCCAAGAGACAGTAAGGAATGGCCGGCTAGTTTCACTGAAAGGAAATAAAAAAAGAAAACAGACATGAATAATTTACTCAGAAAATTCTCGCATTTTGTATAATCGGAGCCATTTACGGAAGAGATCTATCTATCTATCTATCTATCTATCTATCTATCTATCTATCTATCTATCTATCTATCTCTGTTTGTTTGTATCTATCTATCTATCTATCTATCTATCTATCTATCTATCTATCTATCTATCTATCTCTGTTCGTATCTATCTATCTATCTATCTATCTATCTATCTATCTATCTATCTCAGTCTGTTCATATCTATCTATCTATCTATCTATCTATCTATCTATCTATCTATCTATCTATCTCAGTGTATTCATTATCTGTTTATTCATTATCTATCTATATATCTATCTATCCCAGTTTGTTCATATCTATCTATCTATCTATCTGTGAATATGTTCATCCTACGCACACACACACATAAATATATACCCTTCTAAATTTGTTCATTTTCTATCTATCTATCTATCTATCTATCTATCTATCTATCTATCTCAGTCTGTTAAATATCTATCTATGTAGTTAATTATTTAATTTATTACATATCTATCTATCTATCTATCTATCTATCTATCTATCTATCTATCTATCTATCTCAGTCTGTTCATATCTATCTATCTATCTATCTATCTATCTCAGTGTATTCATTATCTGTTTATTCATTATCTATATATCTATCTATCTCATTCTATTGATTATCTATCTATCTATCTATCTGTGAATATGTTCATCCTACGCACACACACATAAATATATACCCTTCTAAATCTGTTCATTTTCTATCTATCTATCTATCTATCTATCTATCTATCTATCTATCTATCTATCTATCTATCTCAGTCTGTTCAATATCTATCTATGTAGTTAATTATTTATTAATGTCTACTCATTATCTATCTGCCTGTTAAGCTCTTCGTCTGTTCATTAATTGCTGTCAGGATACTTATATCAATTTACCTATTTTTCTACATGTCTATTCACGCACGCACACATATTCGTATTTAGACATCAAAATATATATAAATACATATTCTGATTTTATAAGCGTAGTTTAGATGTGGCACAAGGCCGAAACCATGGAGCACCTAGTGCGGATGGTACTCACCCTTCAATAATATTATTGGCCTTAATGAAGTATCGGATAACTCCAGCCCCCTTCCGTAAGAGAGGTACTGCCTGGGGAGATGCGTCACTCGTATATCTAAGTTTACAGCACCTGATATTCCCAAGAGGTCACTCATCTAGTTACTGCCCAGGATCGACGTTGCAACAGGATATGGCTGTAAATGAAGGCTGGAATAGGCGTCGCTAGGGATAGTTTCACTCAACACCGCAAGGTGCTACAGAGTCAAAATATCAACTTAAAAACTTGAGTCATATTAGGTATTGTCATATTAATAGCCTGACTTTTACATGGATGTCATGCATGGCCGCACATTATTTCAGATATACCTAAACTGTCAGCTGTATACGACCGCTTTCTCAGACCAATGTTTAAAATGGCTTCAAGCGAATGAAGCCTGTAGGCCCTTCTTCAAGCCTCGTGGACTGGTGATCTATCTATCTATCTATCTATCTATCTATCTATCTATCTATCTATCTATCAGAGTCTCTTCATATCTATCTATCTATCTATCTATCTATCTATCTATCTATCTATCTATCTATCTGAGTCTCTTCATATCTATCTATCTATCTATCTATCTATCTATCTATCTATGACAGTCTCTTCATATCTATCTATCTATCTATCTATCTATCTATCTATCTATCTATCTATCACAGCCTCTTCATATCTATCTATCTATCTATCTATCTATCTATCTATCTATCTATCTATCTATGACAGTCTCTTCATATCTATCTATCTATCTATCTATCTATCTATCTATCTCAGTCTGTTCTATCTATCTATCTATCTATCTATCTAGGAGGAAAACAACACTCAGAAAACAGTGAAGGGGTTATCAGAGAAAATACAAAGGATGTGCGGTCCATATAACATCAGGACAACCTTCAAAAGCTTGACGACACTTCGGAGATATCTCTCCCGTATAAGACCCCCCTAAAGACTGTGTGTACGCTATCCCGTGCAGCTGCGGAAAGGAATATAAAGGAGAGACAGTCCGCCCCCTTAAGGTAAGGCTACAAGAACACCAGAAAGCTGTAACACGAGGGGAAGTTGGAAAATCAGGCGTAGCAGACCACATATGGAGAGAGAAGAGAGATCACCGCCCTCTGTGGGATCAGGTTGAGATCATAGACAAGCAACACCATTGGAAAATTTGTAAACTTAAGTAATCAGCACATATGCTAAGCCACAAAAATCTCCTGAGCCGACCAAGCATAGAAATAAATACAATATGGGAACCAGTAATAAGAAGTGCCAGAGAAAAGCAATGATAACAACAAAGTTGCAATATGAGCTCTGGTAAAAAGGTGAAATGATAACAGCAAAATTGCAATAAGAGCATTGGTAAAAATGGTTGCTGAAGACATTAGGTTTATAATACCCAGAAATTCATACACAGATGCCCTCAAGGACACATGGCGCAGTGGCGTTGGTTTGATCCAGTGACAGGATCCAAAGAGTGTGAGTTCAATACGGTTAAGGCAGTGGAGAACTTTCAGAGGGAAATTAACAGGAGATAACTGACATCCATTAAAACATGGCACATGGAACTAGAACAGTCTACCCCAGTGAGCGAAATAAAGGGTTCAGTTTGACACCTGAAAAATGCCGGAGCGTACAACGGTCGAAACGTTGTAATAAATATGGCGACAAAGATGAGGACAATAGTCCGAATAATGTAAATAAGTACATAATAATCTATCTATCTATCTATCTATCTATCTATCTATCTATCTATCTATCTAAAATAGTTTGACCATAACTTGACACATACATTCTAAAATGTAAGAGGAAAATTCACTATATAGGTGGACTCAATTACCAAATTAAATGACTGTTAAACAATTAACTTATTGAGTGAAGTTTGTATTAGATTGCTTGAAAATTGAGGGAGCTTTAGTTTAAAATTTGTATTGAAATCGATTTGTGCTGAGCTTCAGGAAAATATCAGGGGCACCGGACCATATATGGCAGCAATATTCTAAGCATGGACGAATGGTAGACTTATAGATATGTAAGATAGATTCTGGAGAGAAAAAATTGAACAGTGAACCGACTTTCTTTGCAGCTGATCTGGCTATGGATTTAATGTAGTCTTTCCATCTCATGTCAGCTGAGAACGTTAGCTCGAGAAGGCACAATAAGTCAATTTCTTGGAGGATAGCATCAGCCATATTGATGGAAGGCAGTGACAGGTACCTCAAATGAAGAATCATTTAAATATAATCTTGTCTATTATTGTTACAGAGTCTCTTTCAATAAGCAATTATATCCAACCTAATTACAATTAACAATTGATAGAGTAATACCAATAATTCAATTATGGTGATTTGATTGTTCAATGAACCCTGAGGGGTACTTGTCAGAATATTGTGATTTTTGCATTCCTCTTTTAAGTAATTAGGCGTATTCGATTCAGTCGAGTTTATGGCCCTATCGCGTCGAAATATCGTTTCCCATACGATAAGTGACCGCTTGTCTATATCAGGTGCTGTTAGCTTGGGTGCTAAATTCATTATAGTTACGCGCAAATACGCTTGGGAAATCTATAAATCCATCATTGGTTTACGGTCACATCACGTTGAAAGTTAAGCAACGTTGAGTCTGGTCAGTACCTAGATGAGTGACCGCTTGTCAATATCAGGTGCTGTTAGCTTGGGTGCTAAATTCATTATAGTTACGCGCAAATACGCTTGGGAAATCTATAAATCCATCACTGGTTTACGGTCACATCACGTTGAAAGTTAAGCAACGTTGAGTCTGGTCAGTACCTAGATGAGTGACCGCTTGCCAATATCAGGTGCTGTTAGCTTGGGTGTCAAATTCGATACATTCACTTACACTGGTATCTATTAATCCGCATCACGTTGAAACACCTGTTCCCGTACAATCACCGAAGTTAAGCAACGTTGAGTCTCGTCAGTAACTAGATGGGTGACCGCTTGTTAATATCAGTTGATGTTAATTCACGTGTCAAATTCGTTGCATTCATTTACTCTGGAATCTATTAATCCGCATCATGTTGAAACACCTGTGTCTGTATGATCACCGAAGTTAAGCAACGTGAGTGTGGTCAGTACCTAGATGAGTGACCGCTTGCCAGTATCATGTGCTGCAGTCAGTATAGTTTCTGGATTATTGTAATTGACTTCACTTGTCAAGGTTACCTAGTAATTCTTTATGATGTACTTTATCAAGCCCTTTTGCATAAATTATTTAGTAAATTTTCTCTAGTTTAGTATAAGCGTTGTAGATGTTTAGAATAAGTCGAAATATAGATTATTTAATAAAATTTGTCAAGTTTGGTATAAGGACATACGCTGTTTAGAATAAGTCGAAATATAGATTATTTGATAAAATTTGTCAAGTTTGGTATAAGGACATAAGCTATTTAGAATAAGTCGAAATATAGATTATTTAATAAAATTTGTCAAATTTGGTATAAGGACATAAGCTATTTAGAATAAGTCGAAATATAGATTATTTAATAAAATTTGTCAAGTTTGGTGTAAGGACATAAGCTGTTCAGAATAAGTCGAAATATAGATTATTTGATAAAATTTGTCAGAAAGTTTGGTATAAGGACATAAGCTATTTAGAATAAGTCGAAATATAGATTATTTAATAAAATTTGTCAAATTTGGTATAAGGACATAAGCTATTTAGAATAAGTCGAAATATAGATTATTTAATAAAATTTGTCAAGTTTGGTGTAAGGACATAAGCTGTTCAGAATAAGTCGAAATATAGATTATTTGATAAAATTTGTCAAGTTTGGTATAAGGACATAAGCTATTTAGAATAAGTCGAAATATAGATTATTTAATAAAATTTGTCAAATTTGGTATAAGGACATAAGCTATTTAGAATAAGTCGAAATATAGATTATTTAATAAAATTTGTCAAATTCGGTATAAGGACATAGGCTATTTAGAATAAGTCGAAATATAGATTATTTAATAAAATTTGTCAAGTTTGGTATAAGGACATAAGCTGTTTAGAATAAGTCGAATTATAGATTATTTAATAAAATTTGTCAAGTTTGGTATAAGGACATAGGCTATTTAGAATAAGTCGAAATATAGATTATTTAATAAAATTTGTCAAGTTTGATATAAGGACATAAGCTTTTTAGAATACCTGCTGTTCGTAAGCGATCAACTCTTTTCCTTGAACCGTGATCGAACCACCATAGCACTTATTACTGGGCTACACATTATAGACTAATATGGTGTTCCTAACAGAATTGTTTTTTATTTAATTTTAGGCGAGCAACGTAGCAACTTTTGCCGCTGATATAACGATTACAAGTGGGAAAAACCTATCGATCTGATGACCTGAACACAATAAATGATTAATTCATTTGAAAGCTTTCACGATTGATTTTGTATTTGTCCAGTTTCAGTTGGTCTGCGTGGAAAGGTTTTTCATCTCAGTTTAACTACTATATTCCATTAACAAAACAGATGGTCGGCCGCGGTTAGGTACACCGGCTGCCTGCGTTAATATTAAAGTATTGTTGCTGTATCCTGCTGGGCCCTTCATGGCATTTCCAGTAACAATTTAGCGTTTCCCGTCTAAATATATGAAACAGGTAGTATTCGGTGTTATTCTTCCAAATATGCGTTTCAGGATCAAGGGGTTCGTTCGTTCATACGTACAGTGTCGGGACCTTCACAATGTGCCTAGGAGAAGAGAGGTTACCTGGCCATGTGAATGTTTACGGTCACCTCGAAGCATAGTAAGGGCAATATTACAATACGTGGTAGAATATATGGGTTGGTTTTATAATAGAAAAAATCATAGGGGTAACCTGCTAACTCCCTCCAGAAGAAGGCTTACTTAGCAGCGCCCATATCCTCACTTCAGGACATGGAAGAAATGGCTTACAGCCATATCACGTTGAAACACCGTTTCCCGTACGATCGGCGAAGTTAAGCAACGTTGAGCCAGACCAATACCTAGAAGGGTGACAGCTTGGGAATACCAGGTGCTGTAAGCTTGGATGTGCAGGTAGCGTAAATGATAATGGCTAGGAATTGTTAATCGGAGAGCCGAGTTTCAATTCCAGCTGGGTTCGTTATATTCACTTACGCTCAAATACCCATGAATCCATCACTTCTCCTCCAGCTATGGGTTAATTATTAAGACTTGTATCACTAAACCATTATAATCTAAAAAAAAAAAAAAAAAAACAAACTTACAGTCTAAAAATATTTTCTAGCTTTAAATAAATTGCAATGGGTTGATAAACCGAAAAAAACAACGAATCAATCACTCTATGGAAGAGATAGTTTTAGAATACAGTGTTGAAGATATGCGCTGGCTTTATGATTCAAGAAATCGTCGAGCTAATCTTCTAAATCCCTCGAGAAGAAAGCTTACTTAGTAGCACCCATATCCTCACTTCTGCACATGGAAGAAGTAGTTTTATAATACACCGTAGAAGACATCAATTAATCTAATGGCTGAAAAGACCACTTACGTGCAAAAGACATTGAATCACTAAACCATTATTATCACTCCCCGGAAAAAAAATTCTTACTATTTAAAAATATTTCTGGCTTTAAAATAAAGGTTGATAAATGATGAAAACTAATCAATTATTGGATGAAGTTGCTTTACAATACACCATAGACGATATGGATTGGTTTTATGATTGAAGTGATCGTCAAGCTAATCTACCAAGTCCCTCGAGAAGAAAGTCTCGCCTATATCCTCACTTCTGTACAAGTAATTTCACAATACACCATAGACGATATTAGTTGGTCTAATGGCTGTAATGATCACGTGAGTATCCTACCAAGCTCTGTTGACAACTCTAGGAGATCGTTGAAGTCACCTGCCCAATTCTTTCAGACTTTTTCTGCCTGAATTTCTGTGATGGGGAGTTATCATTACTTATATGTGGTCTCATCTTCCACCTGAAGGGTACCCTGTTGATCCGGGTACCTTTCAAGAATATTTCGTACTGAACCCTTTATTTAACCTACGATGATAGACTGTTCCTGTTCTAGTACTCATGTCTCGGAATCTCTGGTTTACATCTTTATTTAGTACTGCTTAATTATTTCCCAAGCTGTTATTACTAAGTCCAAGTCGAAGTGACCTAGTGGATTAATCCGTTGGTTAGACACAGTTGAAACGGGTCGAGCAATAGAAGAGGACTCTATTTACATAAAAAAGTAGGGAAAAAATGGGGGGAAATAATTGTGGGGGGTTGCAACAGTTTTTGTAGATTAACATTCGTTAGGTCCTCCTCAGGTTACAGCATTTATCAGAAACAAGAAATATTGAAATATTTTTATCATTTTAAAAGGGGGTCCTGTTCATAATATAAATACAACATCAAATCGATCCCTGACTTTTTACAGAGATATTTGTACTTAGTTTTTATTTACAAATGTTAAGTTTGAAATAGAAAATATCAGCCATACCTTATTGTCAGAAACTATTATCAGTGACGATGTATGCATCTTTTCTTGTACATAGGATAAGAAATTTTGAATGAAAATTAATGAAGGATGGTCATATTATACACAAGTACATATTTTCCGAAATTTTTACTCAGTTTAAAAAAAAACTCTTATTTAAAACAGCAAGATTATCAAATACACTTAAGACAAAAAATTTGAAAACAAGTTTTGAAATAAAAATTAGAAAAAGAAATAATGACTAAACATCCAGTTCATTTCTTTAATATCATGGAAAATGAAGTATTTTAGTGAATTATATATATATATATATATATATATATATATATATGACATTGAAATTTTCATGGATAATATTGTCCAACTTCTCTAAAAAAATATTTACAAAGGGACTGTGGTGGGATTCAAAAATTTTAAGAACAAGTTCTCTCAACAACATGACTCAATAGCAACAGGTTCCCTCATTTTTCCATAGTCTATACTTTACTATATAGATATAATTTAGCAATAAAGCAGATTTTTCTTGCACTTATTAAAGAATACACAAATTAATCTGGATTACATTGCAGGTAATCATTTATGTAAGCTGTAAGCTTGGATGTATTTGTGGTATAAAGGGCTTACGGTCATATCACGTTGAAACATCGTTTCTCTTACGATCACCGAAGTTAAGCAACATCCAGCCTGGTCAATCCTGCAAAGTGCATTCTGCCAATCTAGTAGCGCGCTTAAATTCATCTATTTTGGCTACCAGGGGAAAAAAGCTCGTCAGAGGGGTAGCCATGAAAATATTTACAGAAAAGACGGAAGGAAGCTACATCATGTCGATGAGAAAGTAACTGAAGCCGAGATGCCAGGTCATGATCGATTACATTACAGATCCTTCTTTGGATTTTGTGAAGAATCTCAAGATGTACCCCAGGAGAAGCGGATAAGATATGGCAACAGTATTCAATATATGGGTGAATGGTAGATTTGTAAATGTACAAGATGTATAATGAGGAGAACAAATTGTGGCACGGCACGGTCATCCAACTTTTCTTGCAGTCGATGCAGCTATTGATTCGATAAAGTCGCCCCACTTGACGTTAGTAGAAAACGTGAGGCCAAGAAGACGTAAAGTGATGCTCTGCTGGAGTTTAGGATCAGCCATGCTGATAGCAGGCTGAAAAGGTTCTTTGACGTGATTAAATAAAAGCAGTTTTTGTATTTGTTTCTCTGAGCGTCACATGATCCACATAGATTCTAACAGACAAAAGGTAATCAATATTTGTGTTGCGAAAATCAGCCTGCTGATGTAGTCAATCAGCCGAACATTATCTCTTGCCAAATGGTAATTTTCCATTAAGAGCGAACGAAAGGTGCATGTATCTGTTAATGTACAATGTTTGACGTAATGGCGAACCTTGCTTTATTTGGCAAAACTGTGATAAGGATTTACCAGTGAAAGAGAGCAAGAGAGTGTTATATCTGAGTTGAAACTTAGATGGCGGATGAAGTGTAAGACGCTGCGGGATCCGGATGGGTCCTGGCAGGAGTGGAAAAAAATCGTTTACAAGAAACAAGCGAATTGGCGTCGGGGCCTTTAGCAGATAACAGTATTCGGACTTTATTCGAGTAAAGAGAGAAAAGGAAGAGAGCAGGAATATCGAATGTTGATCCGTACGATCGATTTGAATGTTAGTGTTGTAAATGGGTTGTAAAAACAGCAGGAAAGGAACGCTTCGCTGACCTTTGGATCAGATGCGCCAGGGACAAAAGCACGCTTGAAAGAAAGAAGAAAGGAAAACAAAAAATGTCAACGTAACGCGTATGATAATCATTTCTTTGAAATAAAAGCGAAGTCCAAAAAGTGAGTTCTGTTTTTGTTTTTATGATGCATATGGCAACCGGAAGTGGATTAAATATTTGATTAGCACGCGTTTATTTATAATTTAAAGGAGAAAGACTGTCAGAAAAAATTGTAGTTCATGTTAAACTGATGGAATTTGCATCTAGATTAAAAAAAACCCTAATGTATTCAGTGAAATTCTGCTTTGGATGTATGGGCGGTATAAAGGTCTTACGGCCATATCACATAGAAACGCCGGTTCCCGTACGATCACCAAAGTTAAGCAACGTCGACCCTGATCAGTACCTAGATGGGTGACCATTTGGGAATACCAGGTGCTGTAAGCTTGAATGTATGGGTGGTATATATGGCTTACGGCATTATCACGAATGAAAAACCGTTTCTCTTACGATCACCGAAGTTAAGCAACATCCTGCCTGGTCAGTCCTGCAAAGCGCATTCTGTGTTCACATAAGATTGTAGAAATGTCAGGGATAGGTCCATAGAGTTTAGTTGGATGTTGTCTCCAAGAGATGTTAAATATAGATCTAAGCATCCAAGTGTTGTGTCCATCAAGCTTAGACTCAAGGATTTTATTTAATGTTCAAGCACTGCTTAGGCACAGAATACTGCCTAACAATTGAGTAACGACTACAATTGAAGTAATTTATCTAAATGTAATTAAAACCAAATAATTAAATTCTGAAAACTAAAGCATGAATTTATACTCTAAGCTGTAATATATGCACAGCAAAAACATAGGTGAGACTTCTGGGAATTCAACTAGAAATATATGACACCATCCTGGATATGACGATAAGCTGAAAGTCTCTCATCGGGATGTTTTGAGGAGCGTGGAACCACGTCTTACCTGCTGTTATTCCCAGGTCAGGAGTGGTAGCACCTGTTAGGATCCCAGCTATGGGCAAATAGTTAACCCTCCAAATGGAGACAAAACACTATGAAAGTATACAAAATTCATTTTTATAGTAAAAATACCAGCAATACATTCTTGAAAAAAATATTACCAGCAATATATTTTTGAAAAAAATATTACCAGCAATACATTCTTGAAAAAAATATTACCAGCAATACATTCTTGAAAAAAAATTAACGATTCGATAAGGGAACTTTTACGGCTATTTTATTGTCATATAACTTGACAAGAGCTTATTTAATCATTAACTGAAGAATTAAGATTCACCGGAAAATTTAAAAACCATGAAATCTCACTCGTTAAAAAATTTATTATTATTATTATTATTTAGGGTCATTATTATCATTAAGAGAAATGTTCGTAAGACGGGGATTTGTCTAGAAAGAAATTAAAGAAATAAGGGAAGATAAAAGTATTGAACATCTCCTGCCATCTCATCAAATATAATGGATTATTTCTTTTTGATCACGTGGAAAGTGGGGGAAAGGCACAACTTGATTTCAGTAGGAAAAAGAAAGAAAGAAAGAAAGGAGAGAATATAGAAGAGTTTTACGTCTATTTTATTAGAAAATGTCATCAATTTCAAATCTTTTCATTTGTACCCCCTTACTTCTTAAAATAAAGACCAGCATTAATATTTATGAAAGTTATTGCAATATTTTGTTAAAGTTGTCAAGCTCAAATATTTAACGATGCGATAGGGAAATTTCTACGGATATTTTATTGTCGTAGAACTTGTCATGAACTTATTCAATACTTAACTTAAGATTTAATATTCATCCGAATATTACAAGAGGAAAGCCGTGAAATTTTATTTCTTCTTATAATTCTTCTTGCCGGCTACATTTTTTCAAGCACGTCCATCTGATCGAGAAGCTCACAATACCGTGGTAAAATTGTTCAAGCCCTTTCTGTGCAATTCTATTTTGAGGACGCTTTAAGCGCTGGCAATAAACCAGAACTCCTTCCCGAAGGAGAGGTACTACCTGGGGCTTGGGCTTAAAATTATTCCAACCTCTCCGAGTTAAAAGGTCGAAAAACGATGGCGATCGCCTTAAAACACCATTTTTCAGACGCACAGTATCGAATGACGGAAACTGAGTAAGAGAATCGCCAAAAGTGCAATTACCATAAATAAAATAACATCGCCTGTTGAATTATTTT